TCTGAACTCTTCGCCAGTCTTACAAGTTGCTTCACCCTTCCAGGGTCCTTTCCTGTAAAGTGGGGGGCAAGAATAGTCCCTTCCTGTTTGTGTCAAAAGATTGATGAGCAACTGTGCTAGTCAGGGGTCCTCAGAGAAACAGAGCCAAAAAGATGTAAAGGACTTGGTTGGCGTGAATGTGCAGGTTGGGCGAGTCCCCTCTTGGGCAGGGTGAGGTAGGAAGTTGCAGACCTAGCACAATCAAAGACTGGGTGGGTTTTGGGTTTAGCCTGACTAACTTGTAGGAGAACTGATGGTGTACATACAGTAGGAGAAAAGCAGATATTCCAGCCGGAAGGCTATTGGTGGGAAGAGTAACAGAATATTCTAACCAGGCTTTCAACTGGGTGAGGCTCTACCCTTGTTAGGAAGAACAATTTGTTTTACTTAATCTACCTATTTGAACAGTGGCTCTCAACCTTCCTAATGGCTGTGACCCTTTTAGAAAGTTCCTCATGCTGTGGTGACCCCAACCATAAAGTTATTTCATTGTTACTTCCTAACTGTAATTTTGCTACTGTTAAGAATCATAATATAAGTATCTGAATGCAGGATATCTGATATGTGATCCCCAAAGGGGTCATGATCCACACATGTTGAGAACCACTGCATTTGAATGTTAATTTTATTTCACCATCACCCACCATATCCTCTCAGAAAGGATATTTTTAATCAATTGTCTAGGCATCCCATACATCGTCAGGTTGACACAAAATCTACTATCATAACACTTCAGGAGGTTAATGATTTTTGCTTCCTCCTGTTGGAACCTGATTCCCATAAAGCCGTATGATAGGAATGGAGGGATGGAGATGGGGTGACTTGGTAAAGATCTTCATTTAAGTCCAGCACAGCTAACAATGCTTTTGTTTTCCAGTGTACAGAGACATCCTGGCTTGTGGCAGAGGAGATTCATTTTTCATAAGAAGCCACTTTGAATGTGAGAAGGAAACTCCACAGAGCCTTGCTTTCACCAGGGGTGAGGTCTTCCGAGTGGTAGACACGCTGTATGATGGCAAGCTGGGCCACTGGCTGGCTGTGAGGATCGGAAATGAGCTGGAGAAAGGCTTAATCCCTAACAAAAGCAGGTGATTGAGACTGTACTTTCCTAAACATATCTTGTAATCCTGTTCCCATCAAAAGGCAACAGTTCTGCCCTTAAGGAAATCCCATGTGACGTCATCATCTGTCACCATCAGTGGTTATGGGAACAGAGCTGCAGTCGTGAGCATCTCAGACTTGGTTGTTGCACTTGCCTCATTTTTGAGAGTTGCCTGCTTCCCTTCTTGTGGGAAACACCGTGTGGCCATAGCAACCCCAGCACACCTCGTCTCCCTCCTCACCTTCTTGGGAGAGGCTTGCACACCCTCGGAAACACTTGTTGGTGTGTGGCAGTGTAGAAACTTAAGAAAGGTGAAAGATGATTTGATTACTACACCCATGCATGTGTTCTTACTATATACCATATGAGCCAAGTGTGGTGTGTTCTGTACTGAGCTATTGATTGTGGAATTCAGAGACCTGTTGGGCTTCTCTCATATGACAAAATATGGGGGAGAGGGAGAGAGAGAGGGGGGAGCAAAAGAGGAGAGAAAGATGCATGTAGGCCCTCAATTTGCATTTTCCTTTGTATTCAGTCTGGACTCCAGCCCATGGGAAGGTGCCATCTATCTATTCAGGGTGTTTTTTCCCTTTCTAGAAGTACCCTCATAGACTGACCCGCTGGTGTCTTCCCATAGTGATTCTAATCTAGCCAGGTTGTCAATGAAGCTTGCACACTGCCTTTTCTGCCTCCACAGTCCCCTTCGTTGTATACCCTCATAGACTGACCCGCTGGTGTCTTCCCATAGTGATTTTAATCTAGCCAGGTTGGCAATGAAGCTTGCACACTGCCTTTTCTGCCTCCACAGTCCCCTTCGTTGTCTCTGTTGTCAGTCTGAGTCAGCCCTGGGTTCTCACATGATACTGGCTAGGTGTCAATAATAGCCTGTTCACATGCTGTGGAGAATGACGCTTCCTGGCCTCTTCTCTCAGAGCTGAGCAAATGGCCAGTGTCCAGAACGCCCAGAGAGAGAACTCTGGAGACAGAGCAGACTTCTGGAGGATGCGCGGCCAGAGATCCGGGGTCAAGAAGAACATCCGAAAGAGCCGGGAAGACCTGACAGCTGCCGTGTCAGTCAGCACCAAGTTCCCTGCCTACGAGAAGGTTCTGCTGCGGGAAGGTGAGGCAGCTCCATGGGCCTAGGAGAGATCTGTTGAGCTCTGAGCAGTTGTAACCACCGAGTTCCAACTTAACCTATGTCGCCTACACCAAGGGTGTGGTGAGGGAATCATATCCATCAAGGCCTCCTGAGTGGAGGCGAATTCTCGAAATGTAGAAAATAATTTTAACCCTGACACGGAAGTATTTGTGTATTGTCCTCTGCGTAGGGATGCGAAGCAACAGAGTACCAGAGAATAAGTGAAGTTTCTACTAAACTCTGTTTTGCTGGGAAGGGTGTTGAAGGCTTCTAATTCAAGAAAGCACTGGGGTCAGGGTGGAGGTGGGAGACTCCAGTTTCTTTTGCTGAGCTTGAGAAGTGTGGACAGTACCTTTGCCTCTCGCCTGGACATGGTAATCCTGGGTACATGCCTGATAGCTGTTCTCTCTTCCTTTCAGCTGGCTTCAAGAGACCTGTGGTCTTATTTGGCCCCATAGCAGATATAGCCATGGAAAGGCTTGCCAACGAGTTACCTGACTGGTTTCAAACTGCAAGTGAGTCCGCTAATGGAGTTTTGCTCCCCAAGTGTTTGTTTGGAAAGTTTTCTGGCACACGAAAGTTGGAAGAATAATGAATATCCACACGTCCTGCCTAGAGTCACTGTACCATGTTGTCAGATACCCTTTCTCTCCACCCCCTGCCCAGAGACAGACACACCTCCCCCCCTGAAATTGTGTGCTGAGCCAGTTCAGTGTTTAAATTGCCAATTGTGAGACTTTATCCACGAGCATATGTGCGGGTCTTCCTATAACAGGAGTATTCTTTTACGTAAGGAAGAGATTTAATGTTAATGTTACAGTTTGAATGTTGCTAATCTGAACTATTCCAAGAATCGAAACTTTTTGATTGTCACCATGATAGGACAAGTGGAAAATTCCACCCTTGCTCTTCTGCGAAAGATCAGCCTCTAAATGCATATGCACTAAAAATGCTCCATAAATTTACCTTCAGTTAAGCCTAGTGGTGGTGGCACATGCCTTTAATCCCAGTTCTCAGGAGGCAGAGGCAGGTGGATCTCTGTGAGTTCAAGACCAGCCTGGTCTACAAGAGCCAGTTCCAGGATAGGCTCCAAAGTTACACAGGGAAACCGTGTCTCGAAAAAAACAAAAACAAACCAAATAATTACCTTCAGTGTGTATGAGACAGGCATGACAGAAATGAAACTTTTCTTTTTTTGAGCAGGGTCCCTCAGATAGCCCAGGCTGGCCCTAAAATTACGTTGTAGCTGAGGATGACCTTGCATTTCTGATATTCCTGCCTCCATCTCACAAGTGCTGGTATAATGGGAATATGCCACCGTGCTTGGCTAAACCGTGAATGAATCTAGTATTTAGATGTGGGTCTCCTTTTGTCAGATACTTAAATTATGCATATGTAAATTAAAATAGGTAGCACTTCTGGTCCCAAATATTTTCGTTTTTTTAAATTAAGGCTCATCCGTTGATAGTTAGGACTTTTATATTCCTAGATCCATCCTTTTAAAAAGAGTTTCTTGGAATATTGATGCTTGGAGAATACGTGCCAGTCGGGGCTAGGCATAGGTTGACCTAACAATTTCTTCATGGTTAGATTTCCATTTACTAGTGCTGGGTTTGTAGCTCAGTGGTATGGCACTTGCCTCATACGAGTGAAACCCTGGTGTTTATATGTGAAACACATGCATACGTGTACACTTGGGCATGTGCACGCACACACACAGCAACACACATGGTTTCAGTTCAATGAGTGGTGTGATCCCATCTCACTGCATGCCATGAGATGATGGCTCGTGTCAGGTGTCCCACTGTGCTGATATTTGGGGCATCTGGTTGTCATTGTTTCCATCAGCATTACTTAGCCCCACCCCCTTTTTCTTTTGCAGAAACTGAACCCAAAGATGCAGGATCCGAGAAATCCAGTGGAGTAGTTCGGTTGAACACTGTGAGGCAAATTATTGAGCAGGTGAGAAAACTCATCAGGAGCCCATATTGTCAGAGAACTGGATTGTGGTTTGGAATAGAATGTGTATTTTAATAAAAATGAGGGGCTGGAGAGGTGGCTCAAAGGTTAAGAACAGTGGCTGCTTTTCCAGAGGACCTGAATTCAATTTCCAGTACCCACATGGCAGCTCACAACTGTCTGTAACTCCAGTTCCAGGGTCTTCAACACCCTCACCCAGACATACATGCAATCAAAATACCAATGCCGATAAAAATAAAAAGGAATCATAAAAATATGTAGAAAATACTAATGATAAAAGCTTATATAAATTGGAGCCTTTTCAACATGTAAGCCAGATGCTGTCCTGAGGCAGAGTTCCTATCATTAAACCAAGTTACGATTATTAGAGGGGAATATATCTTAGTACCCTGCTGGGTGTCTGAAACCATGGAGAGTACCAACACTGTGTGTGTGTGTGTGTGTGTGTGTGTGTGTGTGTGTATTACAGGTACTTTTTCTTCACATGTATATCTGTGACAATTTAATTTATAAATTGACATGGTGGGAGATAAACAGCAATAACCAGAACCAAGATAGACCATTCATGAGAATACGCTCTAATAAAACTTATACAAATGTGGCCTGTCTCCTCATTCCCACTTAGAACCTTATACTGTCCTCACCTTTTTTTACTCACTGTTGGACTCAGGAGAAACTGGAGGACAAAGCCATGGACTAGGAGGGTTCTACAGTCATTCTCTAAGAAATTTTATCTCAGCCAGGAAGTGGTGGTGCATACCTTTAATGCCAACACTTGGGAGGCAGACTCAGGCAGATCTCTGTGAGTGTGAATGCCAGCCTGGTGTACAGAGAGAGTTCTAGAACAACCAAGGCCACACGGAGAAATCTTGTCTCAAAAAACCACGGGGGCGGGTATCTGATAATATGGAAGTGGATGTAATATGGAAAGAAATATTTTTGGCTTTTTAATTAAATATACAGGGTAAGATATGGCCTTTAATCCTAGCACTTGGAGGCCGAAGGAAGGAGATCTCTGAGATCAGGGCCAGCCTGGTATACATAGTGACTTCCAGCCAAAGCTACACATTTAAATATACACATTCATTTTATCTGGTATAGTCTTTACCTGGGGAAACAAGCCCATTGATAGTATTTCATGTCACGACATGCCATCCTTTCTCCACTTGTGACAGGACAAGCATGCTCTGCTCGATGTGACGCCCAAAGCTGTGGACCTGCTCAACTACACTCAGTGGTTCCCAATCGTGATCTTTTTCAACCTGGATTCCAGACAAGGTGTTAAAACCATAAGACAGAGGTTGAATCCGACATCCAATAAAAGTTCACGGAAGTTATTTGATCAAGCCAACAAGCTCAAAAAAACCTGTTCTCATCTTTTTACAGGTGAGTGAAGTTTAAAAGGCGGTTCGTGCTCAAAATGTGAAATTATCTGGGTGTGGGATATGGAGTCCTGCTCATTCAAGAAGAGTCAGATATTTAGACTTACGGCATTTGTATGTTAAACTTTATGATTTTGATAGCCAGAAATGATTGTAAAGATCCAAGACATGGTAATAACCTGGTCATCTCAATAACGTTAGATTTTCAAGGCTAATGAGTGAACCTAGCTTATCGCCAAGTTCCCATGTCTGTGGTAACTGCATGTTACTTATTGTCAGTGATGTATTGACTGACTGTGGGATAGCCATAGTAACTGACAGTGTCTCCCAAATAGAAACCTGAACACTCTGACAATAAAGATTTAAACATTTGTTACTTCTACTTTTTTTT